TCGGGAAAATTATTAAAAATTAATTTTAAATAATTTTGGGAAAAACTTTCTTATTCCCTTTGTAAAAAAAGAAAAAATAGAGATTAAGATACTTTGTAAAAGACTACAAAATAGTTTTGGAGGAAATAATAAAGTGAAAGATTCTTATTTCAATGGGATTAATCAATAATTCATTTTCAAAACGAGTACAAAAAAATATAAAATTGACTGACACCTTTCTATTAATCACATTTTCATTGAAATATAGTAAAACACCGCTCCATTATATCAATCCTACTATAAACAAAGCATCATCCTGAATATATATTCTTTTTCACTCTTAATCATTTCAAAAAAATATATGTTCAAAAACAGTGTTACGAAGACACGGCAGTTAAGAAATTAGATGATAACAAAACAGGAAAAAAGATGATGCTTTCATGTTCCAGACTTTATAATTAAGACAATTTATAATTAAACAATTTTAACAAATCGGAAGGAATAACACAGGAATATTACTAGAAGAAAACTACCTAGATATATGTTTTCTTACTTGCAATTAATTATTTTCTGTTAGAAATTTTTCAAATCTTGAATTGCCAAGAAATTAAGCATAAAAATGTTCGGAATGAAAATTCGTAAAAACCTGTTAAAAATTATGAACAGAAAGAAATATAACCAGAAGAATCACAATTGCCACTAGTTTTATTAGTTATCCATGATTTCTTCTATAACATCTCTTCACATGAATGCCACTTGCTTTAATCTCATATCATATTTTCAAAGATCGTCTATTCAAATTTCATTTTGATTTCCAGCATATTTGAAAGAAAATACGCTAAAAACATGAGATCCGGAAATTTTGAAAAAAAGAACACAGAAAAACCTAGATAATGCCTGAATATTACAACACCAAACACATGAATAATGATGCTACAGTTTTTATGAATCATGTTTCCCTCTTTGCCTGAACGAATATGGATCCCTCGTATTTGGAACATCTTTTCCATAGATATTTCGAAGATCTTTGCCTCGATAGGATGCAATATATTTCCTGAAACAATTCCACAGTAGCAAAAGATATTTTTTTAACTTTCAAAATCTTAATAAATTTACTTGTACGTATTTAGTAAAACGATTAACAAAGATAAACCAGTTACACCATTTTTTTAAATGAAAAATCACTTCCGATGGCGCTGAATAAGTATTTCTTTTCTTTGCAAAAAGATGTCTCGATGCTCTACCGGACGAGAGCTAAAACAAGACCCTGACGGCGCCAAAGTTTCTTCGTATTCACCCGATGATTCCGCGGAGGAGTTAGAAGATGAAAGCAGATCCGCAGCATTCCAAGGTTCCTCATCTGAATCCTAAAATGAATACAAATGATAAAAGTCGATTTACATTTTCATTACAACCTTAAAAAACTCTTCACACAAAATTTTACGAGTGTAATATTTCGCTGCCGAAATCGGCTGTCGAGAATATTTTCTACAGTCGCCTGCACTGAACCACTTTCACGCAAGTCTTCCAAAATTGCGGCCATTTCGAGCTGTGGAAACATTTCTCGAACTTGTTCAGCCAAAGAATTCAACTGTGAATTTGCTGTGTTTCCAAATCTAAAATGTTGACAAAAATTTAGCCTTTGTTATTAAGCAAAATTTTAACGTTAAGTTGCTCTGTTGTCAAACATCGACACTGCTTCAAGTCAAATAATGGACTTCAATAATTCCGAACAAGTTTATCACACCAACTATTAAAGATACTTTTTCGGTTTGCCATTGCCTGCGCATTCAAATTACTGCAGCTCAACAAAAGATTGGAACTTTCTTTTTTTAATGAAATTAAAAAGAAGAAATAACCTGTTACGTTGGAAGAAACTGGGTGTAACATTATGCGACAATTCAACAGAAAATGATGGTAACCAACGCGCGTAACGAGTACCACTGAAATGAAAGACATGGCTAAAGGGTTGCACTATTGCAGCCCGTGACCGTTCTCGTGGACCTTCTGTAACTGCTGGATTATTCGAAGATGGAAGTGCTAGTCGACAAGTTGGACAAGAATTATCCTGCTCTAACCAGCTTCGTAAACACCTGAATAAGGCGAATTTAACTGAAAGTGATATCTTAAATTAGAATGATTTGAAGTTTCCCATTTGCTTTAGAGATCAGCTGATAAATAGGCATAGCTCACAATTGCTTCCTGTTTTCAAGTGAACATAAGATGATTGAAAGTTTGCAAAGCTTATTATCAAGTTTGATGATTAGCCTTGCAGAATTTGAGGTGTCAAGTGAAACTGATTCTAAAATTTTGGCGAACAACTCGAAGCAATTCCACTGATATTAAAACATACAGAAAGTTTCCCTAGTTAGACAGTCAATCGTTTCAATTTCTTCGGTCTCTCGAAAAAAAATATCCCTGATCCTAAATTTTGCATTTTCGTTAATAAACCTTTCCGAGAGTTTTCTCTATTCTCTAATCTCCTTTGATCTAAATTTCAGTTAATTTATTTTCTATCCTCTAATCTCCCTTGATCTAAATTTCAGTTTATTTTTTTGAAAGAAAATGATTGCAGCATGAATACCATTCATGAAAGAAATGATTGCATGGAAGCTTTCGAGCACTGTCCATTTGCTCCCAGCATATTGCACACCAATCTTTTAAATTATTTAATTCGATTCGTGTTGCTTTTTGGTAACTGAAAATGCGGGCATAACATATGGTTTTAGAATTTCGTGATCAAAAATTATGCGATCAGTTGACGGAGAGGAATTTAAGCACCGACTTCCAGAAAAGGTTTTTTCAGTTGAAACCAAATTTTACTGAGCATCCTCCTTTCAATGATACATTAGAATACGAAAGTAAATCCGTATTTATAACATTAATAAAATAAGATTTTAAGCAACAAACTAAAAATAAATATATTAAAAGCCTAGAATATTAACTATTTTGCAGTGAATCAGTTGGTACTACATTACCTGTCAGTCCAAAAAAAACTGGCAAAGTCTAAAGATTCAAAGTAGAATACTTGTAAGACAAATAAAAGTGAAAAATTATTTCTATTTTAAGAAACACAAAACTCAAAATAATCAAAACGCATAGAGAAAGAAAAACTCACTGCATATCGATATGTTTGCAAATACGCTTATATTTGATGTGCCGCTCAATGCGAGAAACGAACGATTTATAAAATGATCGCAACTGCATGGAAATTACAATGCATGCCATACTTAATACAACTTGTGAATATAGCTGCAATTCAGAATTTGATCACATTATATGTGAGGTTTAAATAAGCAACTGCTGCAACATGAAATCGATATAGCACAACTTCTGCAAAAAAAACGAGACCTTGGAAATGAAAAATGCTAGACAGTGTTATGTATATCCCAAAAGAAACTAGTGCTTATTGCTGACAGCTTCATTAGCGAGACCGATAATTAAATAAATGTGCAAAAAATACGCAGAATAAAAATAAGAAACACGTGCCAGCATATGAGTGTAATGCAGCAAATCGATACAATCAATAGTAAGATCATGCAAAAATTCCAGATAATATGTTAAAGTCGTAAGATTGATGGATGACAAATAGATGGAAACATTATCCAGTAAGAGAGCAGATTTGGATATTACATAAATACTTCTTAATAGTGACTTAATAGCCTGAAAAAATAATTAGGAAAGTATTTGAAATTCAATCCCTATTTAAAAATACTCTTTATTTTAAATTGGAATAATTCCATTCAACGAATTTAATGCCAAATAAATTAAAGGCTTAAGCAATTGCAGAAAATATGATCCCTAAGCTGACAAGAATAGAATCGCTGAGCAATTATTGACAATGTGCTTCCAAAGGAGTACAAGTGATCTTTTAAATAAAAGAGTACCAACTTACATCAGCAAGGATAAATAAGGCGATGCTGATTGGAAATAAACGAAAAGCGGTGAATGCAAACGAAACAAATGCGAATGATATCAATAGTAAAAGAATGGCCAATCCCATAATACGAAGTAAAATTCTTCTTGGAGGTATTGAAGAAATCAACTACAATAAAATTAATGCTAAAATGGAATAAATGATATAGAAGATTAGATCACTGCTAGCAACTTCTCCAAAAAGAATGATACATTATGAACTGTTGCTATATTTTAATTCTCAGCATAATGCGATAGGTAATCTCTTGTTTCTCCTTTAAGAACAAAGCCTTAATTTATTCAACTTCAAAAAACTAACTACATTTAAAGCAGTAATAGCTGATGATGATAACAGATGTGAGGTTGGAAAAATCTGTCAGAGTTTCTGTGCCCCAAATTATTTAAATCTATAGTAAAGATTCCAATATCATAATGTTTTCCTCAAATGGTAAAGAACCTTACATATTTCAACTTGTAAGCGATAATACTCTGCAATGCAGCTACTGATGCAAGTAATGCAAACCATAAAACCCATGCAATAACTTCTTCGTGCACAACACTATTTAATACACCAAATAAAAATACTGCCTTGTAAAGCAAAAAATTGCACAACCGATCACGTAAAAGTACAGACTCCTGAAAACAAAAATAGAAAACAACCATTCATCATCTCAACATTAAAATTATCCCAATACTATCAAGAGAGCTTATACTTTTACCATAAGCTATAGATATCATATTGAAATATATGAGTATAATTATGTCTTACGAGGAGGTAAAACATAATCACATTAGACTGACCGCCTATGAGAGCTAAGTATCCGTAGAGCCATAAAATTCCACCAATATACTAAATGTTATTTCTTAAGTTAAATACATCATTCATGGAAGAACAATAAACACAACAAGAAAGCAAAGCAAAGAAATATACCTGGGCTCCCAGCTTCCCAACCGTCGCATGCGTTGCTAATTTCGCAATTAATGCCAAGACTGCACAAAACATATTGATAAAAACCTAAAAAGAGTTACTTTAATGAAATGCACATAAAGATTCCTGTTACTATTCAATCCCAATTCAGAGAAAAAATTTCATATTACGATTAAAGAATCTTTTCTGCGGAGAAAATGAAATTATCTTATATCTCCTGCTTTTGAAAAAAAAAATCGTAAAACAAAATGTCACATTATCAATCAAGAAGCCAGAATGGAAAATAACTGTTTTACCTTCCTAGTATAAATAACCCTTCTGTATGCAAGTGTCGAGATTAAAAAAGCCGTCAAAGTGGTCGGTAATACTTCACGACAATTTATACAGTTCCAGTTTAAGACACCCTATCACCTGTTACACTCCATGCAAGGCAATAAAAACATTTCATTCGAGAATGATCGACAAGACACATTTTTCGTATTTTTGCACAATGAGAGACAGGGCAGAAACTATTTAATGGAAAAGAATACATTCAAACAAGATTTAACAAAGAGTGTAATTAATGAACTTAGAAAGCAGAATTTAAGAAGCAATAACTTGCCCATCCAAAAGTAGGATGAAGTAGTACGTAATAAAATTGTTGAAGATGTGTAGATGTCATTAAGGCACCTGTTGGGTCGGTTTTTCGAAAGGTTTCATTAATACCTCTCAAACGACTTTCAATCTGAAAAGTAGAAAAAATATGAAAAAATGTATGATATATTAGAACAATAAATTTTCGAAATGTTTTCTTAGAAACAAAATGGAACACTTTTTGAAGCATTGAGAAATTTATTTATTTCAAATAGAACTGCACCAAATGTGCGCAAAAGTAATGAATAATTCCGTAATGAATGATTAAAATATCATTCTTTTTCATTTTTAAGGAAATCAATTAATTAAATTTTCCAAAAAACACATGCCTCATCTTTTGCAAACGTTAACTTAGCATAAAAAACGGATCCAATAGTTAGCAGTAAACTAATGATAATATAACTGTTCAGTGTTGGTATTGGCGTATGCCGAGCAAGTGCCAATAAGCCATCAAATGGATCCAATGCTATCAGTGGCATTCTTTCCTGAAAATTAAATTTAAAAGGAAAAATGGAAAAACAACCGCTAAATAGAACCAACCTTACCTGCGACACACTCAACTAAAAAGATAGTTTTTCTAAAAAGGTCACATTTCATGATTCTCATGCCAAAAACTTTAACCAACTTTATATTAAACCATAAAAATTAAATTAAAATTAGCCCACCACAAAATTACCGAATTATACACACAAATTTAATAATCATGAATTACTAAAAACCACAATGTTTGCTTATTCGAAAATTATGTATTTTTTAAGCAATAGCGAGAGCTGATCCAAGTTCACGTATAACTGTTCCGTTATTTTTAATTTACACAGCAGTTTCGGTATTCGATGTAAATGTCAATAAACTTCTGACGAAAAAAAACGTGTTACGAGTTACGTGAAACTATTGCATTTGCTAATTCCTTAGAAAAATATGAAAGCAAAAAGATCATTCTAATCACTCATAAGGTATATATATACGCGAGCACACATACACACATACACACACACATGCATACCTATATCTACATACACACCACACACACACACACATACACATACGTCCTCGAGATGTAAACAAGGAAAAACTTCGCTTTACACTTCTCTTCTGGCAAGAAAGCTGGTACAGTTGACGGCGCTAATTTAAATTTCAACTAAGGATTTAATCGATAAAAATTTGTTTCATTCAACAATGAAAGTAATGGAAGTAATTCTTAAAAGCATTGAAAAGTATTAGGGAAATTTTTGAATATATCAAAGATATTATTGTGATATAAGTAAAAATGAAGAAATTAACATCAAATTAGAACATCAAACATCGATTGTACAAAAAAGAACGATTTGAAGAAAATTTGAAATTTGATAATAAATTGCATGAATGATGAGAAATCGATCATTAAGGTCAGTGCAAGTTAATGGAAAAACCTGAATGGAATGGCTAGAATTGAATTAGGCGCTTATGATACAGATCATTAATGAGGAACACATGAAAAGGAATGATCACGAAACGTAAGAAAAGAAGATTGATTGAGAATTATTACAAAATATATGTTCAATCATGAACGGACGGTTCACTTCAACACAGGTGGCAATTACGGACACACAATGAATTTATTTTCCGCTTTTCCGTCTTTCTACCATTAAATATTCAAATATATTCCTTACATAACCGTTGGAAAATTTGTTAATGCATGGGCGGATTGTTTTGTATGGGTTTTCATGTGCGAGTACGTGTGTAGGAGTAATTAAGTAGTATGTTTAATTAATGATTTTTTTTTTGAATTTAATCGACGAAGAAAAATAAGCAATAGACAAAACATATTTGCTTTCATATCATATCATTCCGTAACCATAAATCGGATGTCTTCCGGAAAAATATTTACATTTCGTACGGCTGAGCAACTTCGTTTAATCTTATTATTTATTATAACTCTCAGATAAGCGAAGTGCATTGAAAGTTGCAGCAGGAGGCATTTATTAATTTCTTGATAAATTTCGGTCTTATTTGACAGCAAGAATTTGAGGTGAAATTTTGCGATAGATAAAGTTAAATTATGGAAACAAAGAGAAGTATATATTTACCTGAATTACCTTAATTTTTGCATTTTAAAAATATATCCATTTTCTTATCGAATATTTCTGATTTTGTTTCCAATTATAAAAACTTTTTTTCCACTTTATCTTAAATTTTTCTTCTCTTCTTATTTATGAATACATATGTTCAATTGTTCTGTTCTTCTTCTAATTGCTTCACATCTGAACATTCGTTATCAAACTGTAAAATTGAAACGTTGCGTTGCAAGTAGGCGACCTTTGATTTACAACAGTTTTCCACATTGTCCACATTCTTCTCATCCAATTAATCAGATATTCTGGATTTCACAAAAAAATTTGATATATCTTTATCGTTTTTCTGACAAACAAATGCCGGAAGAAAGGGAGAGAATTTATCTCTCCGTTATATTAAACGGTTTGTAGTTTTTTCTGATTACAAAAAAATGCATAATTATTATCACTTCATGATAATTATCATTATCATTTCGTAACTATTATTTTTTAATATATACGGTTTTTAGGTTTATATAATTTATTTCATAAAATATTTTAGAAAAGTTAAAATTTTGTATTTGAAAGATTTGTTTAGGAAAAGTGAAAACAATTATATCATATATAGTATAAATTGATAATATAAATTTCCTATTATGAAATATAGGACGAAAATTTTTTTTCAAAAATTGAAAAAAGCAAAAAAGAAGGGATCGAAGATTGGAAGTGATTGTGATAAGTTAACCGATCTGAAAACATTTTTCATCGCTTTCTTTTTTCTTTACACAAATTTTCACTTTACTGACAATGATATTTTAAACGAGAATAAATAGTTATGAACAGTTTTCTAGATAATTACTGCAAATGGCTAAAATATCTAATTATGAAAATTCTGATAATAACAAAAATTTCCTTTAAATTTAACAGTTAAAAAATAATTTAAAATAATGGGAATAAAATAAAGGAAATTTGATGAAAAAAAGTAGTAAAATTGTTCGGCGAACCTTTTCTCTTTTCTTCTCTCTATTGATGCATTGATTTGATAAAATTATTTCATTTTCTTATTTAAATTTCAATTTAAAATATTCACATTCATTTCCTCCAATTTATTTCATTTAAACTTTTTGATTAAAATTGATTTAATTTCAAATTGAAAATTACATTTCTTTTAATTGATATTTTTGATCTTATTTCATAGCTAATATCATTTCCGGAAAAATGAGACGAAGCTATACGATCGATTGAAGCCATTAACGGTGTACCGTATGAATAACATATTTACAGACTTAAATATTAATACATCATTTTGATGAGGAAACAATGGATTTAGTTTTATGGATATATTTTAAAATTGGTGTAAAAAGAATTATTAATGTGTTCAATTTGTGTAAGTAAGCATTAATAAAGTGCTTTCTCTTAATTGCAAAATCTTTTATTGTTTTCATTAGTTAGTCAAAATAAATTGTATTGTTTACATTTATTCAGTCTAATCATTTCTCTCTCTCTCTCTCTCTCTTCAAAATTTTCACAAATGTACAAGCGAAAAAGATTAACTACACACAATTATCGGGATATACTTAAGTATCATTATGTAGAAAATAGAAAGAACATGATGTGATTCATATATTTTCAAACACCAAGAACAGATGAATCCGCAACTACACCATCAGCAATGATCGAATGATCCGTATTATTTATTCCCTGAAAACTAATTCATCATTATCGGTTAGAATCAAAGAATATGTCATTGATAACATCAAATCGATTAATTTCTCAATTCTTATTTTAAATTATACACTGTTTAAATTTTCAAATCTCTTAGGAAGAAATTAAAAGCATTTGATGAATGATATTATTTGTATGAAATTATTTAGGATAAAAAACAAAAAGTATGGATGTTTAGGCATAATATTAAGTTTATATCATTTACATTCATTTCAACGCAATTATCATTATTATCTACGAATTTGTTAAAATTAACTTATAAGGGATGGAAATTTGATAAAATGAACTTAGAGATATTAGTCTGATAAAATCTTTTTGAATCTTAAATGAAATCATTTGATAAAAATGATTTCTGGTGTAAAGGATATTTAATGAAACTTCATTTACACCTCGTGGACATTTGTCTAAACTAAATTATTTTCAGTCCAAAAATAATGATATCGATGTATATTATGGATGATGTGAATACTTTTAATAGTAATTAACTAATTACAAAATATTTGCAAGTATAATTTATACTATTGTGAAATCTCGATTAACTTATGAAATGAATATGACAGAAATATATTTTGTACATTTATGGGACGCCTATTTTTTTGATAAGTTCTTGAAATTTAAATACTATGATTTTAATTAGTTTCGGAAATCTGAGAGAATATAAATCATTCGCTTACAACTATAATAATGATAAAATAATAATCATATTACAATAATACTGATCACGATAATTATAATGATAATGATTATGTTAGAAAATGCTTACTTGATTTGAAATTTTCTTCCAATGTTCTTTGGCATTCAAATATTTTTTACATCGTAATACCAAATAAATTGCGAAACCTTGAGCTATTGTAAAACCAAGCTGCAACAAAAATTTAATGAATCATATTTCGATATATTTAATTAATTAATTTAATTGCTTTCAGCAAAATTTGATATATAAGCAAGCGTATTGTTATGAGATGTTTTATTTGAGAGCATTTTTAAAAAATTTCGAATAAATTTATAAGGCTAATTGACTATATATATATATATATATACATAAATTAGCTTACCTGAAAAACAATCCAACCGAAATCATAAAAGATTTGGCCACGAAGCAATTGTCGAGCATCCATTATGGTAGCAATAACAGTGATTGATGAAAAAATAACGTTGAGGACAAAATTAGTGCAGTAGAAGATGAGAAATGGTGTCAGATACCTTTTATTTTCTCGATGAATCCCGTAAAATAGCAAATAATGGCATGGTAATCCGAAGAATAGCGCAAATATCAAATCTACTAAAATTTAGATCTACTTAAAATTAATAATTTACACGAAGAATATGCATAATTTTAATATTCCTTAAAAAAAATTTACAAAAGTTTTTCAATTGATCGGTTAATATATGCGTCAAATTATGCTATATGCTATGCTAAATTATGTTATACGGTATGTTAAATTATGCTATATGCTATGCTAAATTATGCTATACTTTAATATATGCTATATCCTTCCTAACTCATTTGTTGAAAAATTATTTATTTCTTTTGTTATATGTTTAGTTTAATTCAATAAAATGAAGGAAATATTTTAACAACAAATTGCAATATTTTTCTTTCAAATAAAATTTGCAAACTTTTCTTATTTGCCATTATTATTCTTTTTCATTTTATTAAAATAAAATTTTTAAAATTACTAAAAATAAAAAAAGGAAAAGAAAAAGAAGAGAAATTTTGATGACTAGCCAAGTTCAAGATGATCGATGAAATAATTTCTTCCCTCTCCTCGTTGATGATAAAATGTGTATATAATACAAAATGTGGCTGTCACCATTAAACCAATTGTTGCAGCAATTGTTGCGCCCAATGCGACATGAATATTGGTCCCAAATAACATGAACTTAGAAGATTTCTCACGGAAAACAATAATATCCGTATCACCATTCCTGAATTTTCAATATCTTTCCATGTATTACGTGATTTTCCGCATTTTTGAATAAGCACTTTTCTCGAATTGCCCTTAAATTGTTTACTTTCCGGATAACACCATCATTCCAATTTATAGCACTTCCCGAAATCCATTCCATTCTTTTTTTAATTATTTAATTAAGAAAACAAAAAAAGAAATTATAAAGCGCTAACTCTGATATTAGTCTTTCAAAGAAAAACTATACTAAAATGAGTTCTTCTAATTTCTTTCGTCTCTTGAAATTCATTAAACTAAAACAAATAATACTGAAATATCGAAATATACCTTGTTTCGAATTGTGAATAATCAACTTCATTACCGATAATATCATTCCAGAATTTCTTTAAACGTTCCATTTCATCTACTTATCTTCAAAGAAAAATTTAAACTTGCTAATTATTTGAAAATATTTTCATTTAATAGATTGTCGCTGTAATTATTGAAAGAAAAATCATTTGTAAGATATTGTTTAGACAAATTTAAATTAAGAATGCATTTAAAAAGTTAGAAATATGAGAAATCATTAAAAATTGTTTTAAATTATTCGTGTGACTTCGTTTTCCTGCAATAAGATGAATAGCACATAAACCAATATTAAGCTTACCTATAATTCTGGCTTATAATAATTAATAATAATTATTAGTAGAAATGATAATAACAATAATTAATAATAATAAGTAATAATAATAATTACTAATAATAATAATAATACAAATAATTAATAATAATTATAATAAATATTAGTAATGCTTAATAATCAACAATAATAAATTATTACTATTATTAATAATTAATAACAATAAAAATAATAAAAAATATTGATAAATAATAATTAGTTATTAATACTATTATTAATAATTAATAACAATAAAAATTAATGATTAATAATAATTAATAATAGTTTGTATTACTAGTTATTAATTAATAACGATTAATAGTTAACAATTAATACTAATTAATGATAACAATTAATAGTAAATAATTAATAATAATAATTAATGATAATAATTAATAATAAATAATTAATAATATTTAAGAATAATAATAATATTAATAATAATAATAAGAACAATAATAAATAATAATTAATAGCGATAATAAATATAAATAATCATAATAATAATAACAGTAATAGTAGTTAATAATAAAAATCTGATCAACAAAATCGATAATTCTCAGAATTGTCATCAAACGATGAGGAAGATATTCTGTTGGTAAAAATTTTTAGAAGAAATATGTGAAACTACCAGTATTACAACTGGCTGCCCCAGAAAACAGAGAGAATTTGATGAGAGGCTTGACACAGAAACAATTCATCCATCATCTATACAATTTCATACCTTTCTATTCCTATCTTCTTTCTTTCCTTCCTTCCTTCTTCTTCTTCTTCTTCTTCCTCTTCTTCATATGAACAAAATAATTTATTAATAAATTTCTTTTCATCTTAAATCAATTATATTTAATATTCTATTCTGTTCTGATCAATTGCTGCTTCTTTCCCATTTTCAAAACTGGTCTTTTCTACATTTTTCGAATACAAATTTACGCAACGGTCAATGCACGATGTTATAGTTATATTATGTGGTCATTTGAACATTTGATGACCATCTAATATTTGTTTCCGTCATTCTTTCATGGTCACTTTTGCAATTTCCAATGATGAATAGAAGAAGTTAAAACATATAGATATTCCAGTAAGCAATCAATCTATTAAACATTTAAGAATATACTGAACAGTAACACGAAAATGATAAAAATGATAATAATGAAATAATAATTGATAAATAAAGTAGCAATTAATAATTGATAAATAGTGTAATAAATTAACATTACCGCTGCATTGACCTCTAAAATGTTTGCAGCGCTTGATGAAAATCAAAATGATTTGCGACCTATTTTCGAAATTAATTACATTTGAATAAGTGAAGCTCAATGGAATGCTTTCTGTTTGCAACATTTTTTCCTTCTAACAAAAATATACAAGAAATTTTCAAATAGTAGATTTGACGATTTAGAAAATTATTCTTAATCGTCAAACCTTATCTATCTCCGCCTTTTCCACGATATCTCCGCCTTAATTAATAATAAATATCAAATGACGCATGGATAAATTTTGGACGAATAATTTTTGAATAGTTGAGAAAAAATTTAAGATAACATTTTTCCGCCCCGTCGTCCATCAAATGCGCCATTCATCCATTACATGAAGAAAGAATGGAACATGTTCAACAAAGCTGATTCTGATCTAAACCTGTTCCATATTATCATCATCATCATCTTCATCATTATTATCATCATCATTCATTATACTATCCAATCACATAATTTTTCCATTTTTTTTTCTCTCTTTTTCAAGAAAACCTGACTGGTAAAAATTATATGCGTTATGCTGTAAGGAATAATAATTTATATTGCTAATATGATTTTCCTCTTTTTTCATTTTCAATGATTTGATTGATCAGAATCAGGAACAGGATCAGGTGCGCTTTACTGTGAGAATAAAGCCTGTTTTCCTCCCTTTCCCTCGTCCCATTTTAACTCACCAATTAACTTATGCCTGTTAAAATGAGTTAAATTATTTTTAATTAAAAAGGAATTGTTTGATTATCTCCATTTTTTTACAATATAATTTCACGAAAATGATTAATGAAAAGGTCAGTTTGATACATTTCTTTTCTAATAAAACTTAACTTTAAACTGTTGAAATAGCAAAAGACTCCAAATTTATTCCATTCGTTGGATAAGCTAAGGTTATTTTCTGGCTAATATATTGCGCTGAAAATATATGCCTAAGAATCCATCCCATCGTTGCTACTTTTCATTCCATACTAATTATGCAAATTAAAAATACCAAAAATTGTTTCGATCATAATTGATGATTAGTTTCAGCAATCACTCCTCGTTTATACTATCACTTTAATGATATTAGGAATAGTATATTTGATATCAGATAACTAATAATGACTGATAATTTTCTTTCAGTTTCATTTCAAGTTGAAAAAAGATATGATCAACGATTATCCTTTCCAATTTCTTTTTTTTTATTCTATTCGACATAGATAATAATGAAATGATAATTAAACTACAATATCGATAATATTATTTGAAAATTTCGAGAAATAATTAAATGAAATAATTTGAAATATGAAATTGTTAAATGATTGCGTAGAAAAATTTAAAGAAAACGTAAAAAGTTAAGGTAGCATTCCATCCATAATTACATGAAATGAATAAATAGAAGAAATGATGTGGAAAATAAAAATAAAAACGTAAAAGTATCAGAAAAGAAAAATGAATTGTATTTGCAGAGATCGTTGAAAAATGAATAAACCTTGAATGAATTGTTAAATTGAATGAAGAAATAAAATGGAAAGAAAGGAAGTAAATGGCAAGGAAAGAGAGAAAGAGAGAAATGAGATGACCTTGAATTAGTTTACAGCACAATTCAATCAGACCATTTCCATGCAACAATAACAATAACAACAATAACAACAACAACAACAACAACAACAACAGCAACAGCAACAACAAAGATGACAACAGCAGCGGTAGTTAATAACTATTGTGATAGGAATTAAAATTGAATGAGAAATGATTATAAATGATAGGAAAGTGAATTAATAATTAACAACAATGATAGCGACAGCAGTGGTGGTTAGTAACTATTGTGATAGGAATTAAAATTGAATGAGTGATGATTATGAATGATAGGGAAGTGAATAATTGTTGTTTATACATTGTTGAGTGAAAAATTGTCTCATCAATTTGATAAACAGTCATATCTCAGAGGTATTTTCAATTTTAAGACAATTGTTGAATTCAGTTTTAGATCCTATAAATTCGAAGAAAACGATTTTGATATCATTTCCTTTTTGAAATAACAAATTTTTCAAAAAACTGAAAATTTAAAATTACTTGTTATCACTTTCTACACTCTATGCAGGTTTGTTGTAATCTACACATATGATAGTGTCAGCTAAATGTACATTACTTATCATTTCCATGTTTGAAAGAAAGTGAAAGCTAAATTGAAATGAATGAAGTAAAACTAACTGATATAGGTATGTAAGAGAAGATGCGGAAGTATAACCAGTGACTAAATTACTATCTTCTTCATTTCATACAAATTACATATAATTACTCGAGTGGAAACAACCACAAAATATCGGTTTATCCGTTGTTAGCATACTGTTGGCAGCGGCAATTACAATTGCATTTATTTTCTGGAAACAATAGATTGTGTCGAAATTATTGAGGATTTCAACGGTAGGTCCAATATAATGTGCTTCTAGTTTATGAAGTCAATAAGTATATATGTGTATGTGTGTGTGTACTGTGTGCGTGGGTTTGTGTGCGTGTGTATGTGTATTAAACGATTTGATCATTTCTAATGACATGTTGCACTTTTCGCTGATCGAGAAAAAAATGATAAAATTTTTTAGTTACATAATTTATTCCATACAAAAAATAAATGGACTTATAGTGATATGTCCAGAAAAGGATCTGTTGTTCAATTGAAATTTCTACTCAAATAATTAATAGAGATACGTTATAATTAATAAAGATACGTGTTAGGATGCTCATAAGGATTACGCTTGTTATCACTTTTTTTGGTTTGTTTCAATACTTCAATACAGATATTTATATTATCAAATATTTTATTATAAAAGATCATATTCTTATCACCTTGACCTTATCCCATATAAAAATAGTCATATCTTATTAATGTGATCATATCTATATTACCGGTTTGAGATATGTATGTGAATTTTGTTAAGGTTTTCTTTCTTCTCTCTCTTTCTCTTCTTTCTTGCATCTATTTGTCAACATTTGACCTCCTAGAAAAATAAAATAGTCCGGAATATCACAGTGTGATATGATTTCTAGTAGTAACGGTAATAATGTTAAATTCATATCTAACCTTCGAGTTACAGAAGTGATTTCCATTCAGCTTATCTAACATGCGTATTACCTTCTTTTCCGTGATTATTTAGCAGGAGTGACGAAACTCCTGCTGAATAATCACGGAAAAGAATTTGAAGCCATTTTGAGTAATCAAGATATGCATGAATGATTCCTGAAACGATTTTTTTCCGTGAATAATCACAGAAAAGAATTTGGAGTCAATTTGAAGCCACTTTGAATAATGAAAGTATGCATGAATGATTTCTGAAACAATTTAACAAACATCCTGCAAGGTGGAAAGCAGCTAGGATTATTTGTTTATTGTTTCATCTAAGCATATTAACCACGATTAAAATTGTATACGATGGAATTTGAATGGGAAAATAAAAGGGATTTTTATGGTTTCGACTATGTTGTCAACAATTTTGAAATTTATCCATGTTGTTGAAAACCTGAAATAATTTCTAACAAATATGTCGAAATAATAAAAACTTGTATTGCAAATATTTCTCACTCAAAGTGATTCATCGCACAAATCGTAATTTAATAAATGTTTCAATGTTTAATATGGATGAATTATTTTGCTAAATTTTCATTCTGTTTTTTGATTATCACGCTTATCTTTAGTGATTAAACAACTGTAAGCTAATTTTGGTCTGATAATCAGTTATATTTCAATTATTGTGATGTTACTAGATTTTCTTACATAGCCTTTCTTTTTTATGCACGCATACCTATTTTTGTATCGAAGGGATTTTTTATCAAAAAGATTGTTATAAATCACTCCTACATGTATATAAATGTTGTTAATAGATAATGGAAGAATTGAATCCAGCGTTACGTCTTATTATGACTTAGCATTGCGTCTCATAATCACCAATAAAAGTATCACAAGCGTTACAAGAAACTGTTTATTTTGAATATTTTTTGTAAGTTGGAGATCATACCTTTCAAGAAATACCTGATTTAATAGTAAATGATAAAAATGAAATAAATAAAACCTTTTATCAGATATGGACAATACATTCAACGTTTATGATAACACAGGCATCGATTATCAGTCAAAATTCGGTAACAGTTGGTACTGCAAGTGACAAAATATCGTAATTTTAAAGGATTCAATTATTAATATCTATTCCGGTTTAGCAACAACATTCATTCATATTCAACCCTATTCAATGAACATAAATCCTGAAAATCTCATACAAAATGTAGTGCTATTTAAATATGGAAGATAAAAAACGGATTGGCTCGAAATTCAATTCCTCCTTTTGTTTTTTTTTCATTTAGTCATTTTATGTTGCAATTAACACTTATGCGCACATTAATTACCATAATATTAACTTACGCAAAAAAGATGATTGATAGAATTGAATAACGAATTACCGGAAACAATATGAAAAAGGGAACAAAGGGAATGACAAACCTGACAGTCATAAAAACGGATGAAATAGAATTGGTCGAGTAAAACAATGTAGTGCCGATTGCAAAGACATTAGAGATTTTGCAGTTCCTGAAAAATTTTCATCAATTACAAAAATTAACAAAGAATGTTGAAAAAGCATTCTCACTTGATATTTGTGAAATTAAATTAACTCTTGAAGAGTTTAGTGTAATGGTCATTTTTACAGTGAAATATACATTCAAAGTATTGATTTATAGGAAATACAGCTAATATAGATTTCATATTTAATTGATCTATAAGTATTTCAATTAAAATAAATGTTTCTTGAGTTCATAGAAATCTATACTAATAGATCATAGATCTGAGTACTTAGTATAAGTGATTTGTATCTGAATACTTAATAAATGTTTTATATGCTTATATCATTGCTATGTGCTAAAAAATTATTTCATGCAAAGTTTCGTTTTGTTGATAATTTCTAAATTTCAGATTTACTATATGAATTCGTTCAAAAAAAATTTACTCTATAGTAAGCCCTTCTGGTTGGAAATGTCACTAATAAAAGATAAATGATTTAGATTATATGACAGTTGTTGACCTTTCGGAATTAACCGAACAGCACTAATATGTTACTGTAAATTAAAAAAATATTCAATTAATTGCAGTGCATAGTTTAGAAAAATAATTCATCGCTTACAATGAATATTATATGTTTATAATTTCCCAACCTAAAACAATTTATTGAAATTATTGCTAATATTTTGCAGTATTTGATAGTATGTATAATGAAATGGTTATGGATAAATTATTGAATGCGAAATTTATTTAAAAAAACGCATATTCATTTGATTATTGTGTTTTCTAATTTATCAGACATATTGCGCCAAAAATGAAAGTGAAACGTTTTTTCCAACATTTCGATACCTTACACGCACTAATAAACGATATTATTTATCGTTTAATACTAGGGATTGGCCTAAAATTATTTGACGTCCTGTTAAAATATAATGGAAGTTATTATATGCAAGCGAAATGAATACAGATGAAAGAGATCTGTGATATCATAAAACATTTCTTCCATTCAAATATTGAAATCGAAAAATTTGTCTATTTGGCAAAAGTAAAATCAAGTACTTCGATATTTCGAATTAAACATTTGTTATTTCAAATTTTAAAATTTCTCAAAAAAATATTCTGTACCATGCATTTTCGGCGATGTGATATCCAATTCGAAATTATCATTTCCTTCTTTGTTCAACTCTTACTTATCATATCATTCCCTTTTTTATCACTTAAACATTAGCATATTCTTCCTCACCACTCATAGCACTGCAGGAATATCGAATACTGCGATGAATATTTCGGATGCAAAATTGATTGTAATGAATATAGTAGAAACAGATTACGATATAACTGATCCGATCGATCCGTATATGTTAGATTTTTGTTGATTGAATTGAATTATTCAGGTATATATCAACGGTTATGAATTTTTCAGATTTTTCACACTTAATTTTACTGCTTTTCTCATTTTGCTACCTACGTACTAATGAAAGTTGAAAGTTTCATGATATTCAAATTCGCATATTAAAAATTTATTGTTTCGGTCTTTTAAGCCAATTTTATGACAACAAATATTAAAATACTGCGACAAAAACGCCCGATGTACATATCATCATAATAAATAATCTGTTTGATTCTCTCTTTTTTGTTTAAAAATTAACAACAAATGACAAAATTTTCCAATTTAATTACAATTTTGCATATCTTTTATCCTGTCCATTTCCTAACGATCGGGAGAAGTCATTTTCATGAGAGAGAGAGAGAAAGAGAGGGAAAAAGAAAGAAAAATTTTAATATACCCTGAAGTTCCTATAAAAATCACAAAATATAATGACAATAAAACGAATTACCATCGAGGAGAAAAATTCGTTATCAATTTTTTTCCCCCGAAAATATCGATCTTACTAGAATTTTTACAATTCGAGAATAACGAAAAGATGAGCTTGAAGAAATCGTTTTTTTGTCAAATTACACTAAACTTCAAAAATTATTATAATTTAGGAATTACTTTGAACTTACTAAGCTTTAGGAATTATTTTGAACTATCCGCTTTTTTGAGTAATTTCTTTCTCCTCTTAGTTACTAATATACAATTTCATACAGCATCATAATGTATTAATAGTAAAAAAATACCTTAAGAATAGATCTATATAAATCAAATATAAGGCTGTCCACCTGATCACACTTGAAGCAACACTTTCTAGTGGTAACTCAAGTACCGTAGCACCTGGAAACCTTTCATGATTATGCAAAAATCCGCTATCTTCTTTCATCACTGATTGCAAATCAATATTCTGTGATATTTGATTATCACTTATATGGTCCATAATTATGCTGCTTAAACGAGATGAGGTATTGTTGATGTGATGATCAGATAATAAAAGAGAAGACTTCTCGGAAGCGTTATTCCGATTTATCCGAAAAGATGTCGTTAATGTATTGCCAAGACCATTACTTGTTATCGTTTGTACATGAACAAGATAACTGTGATCCGGTTCAAGTTTATCAAATTGGACTGCGGTACTTTGTGGTGGTATGATCATTATTTGATTATCCACTGCACCGGATTTACTGAGTACAATTCGATAGCCAGCATTTTTTTCCGTACTATTTGTATTTTTCCAGTTACATTGTACCGAGTTATTTCTCGAATTAATAATAAGACAAGAAAGGGACTGAGGAGTTAATTGATTTTTGCAGGTAAGACTTATCGTTGATGGGGTTTTCTCGCAACTTTGTGTCTCGAAATAAGCTGTTGCAACGATCTAAACGAAGAAAAATCAATCTAATCTAGACTGAGAAATATCAGTCTAGTCTAAATCAAGAAATATTAGTCTATAAAACATAAATAAAAGAGAAATTTTTCCATTAATAGATAGAAGTATGGTTTTTTTTGATAATTTATAAAAATATAATAACCTGTTTGGTTTTGGTACTAACAAGCTCGACGCTATATGAGCATGCGAAATCAAGATCTTCCAATACTGCAACACATTCTTGGACTTCCATTTGTCCCCAATCTTTATCAGATGAATCCAAATCATAATAAGTAATGCGTTTACTCTCTCTTGCTTGACACATTAATAAACGCCATCTGAAAAATAGCGCTGTTGAAATTCAAAATTGCTAGCTTATCTGTCTTATTCAAAATAATCAAGAAATAAATATTGCTGAGAAACTTTCTAAAGCTTTTGTATCATTCATTATCGACATATCTTCTAATTAAAAGCAGCAATTTTAAAGCTAACCTTATCGTATATTTAACTCTCGTTCCGTTGCATAAACCATTCCTGAACCAACTCACTACAGTTTTCAAATTGTTATCATCGAAATATGGTGCCCTGATGTCTAACGTTTCCACTTTGATATTAGTCCTGATATCTCTATCATCTTGAATCTCATTTTGAGATTTTAATTCCCATTTCTGAGATTGAATCGTTGTAGTTATGATATTACTGTTGTCATTAGCACTGCTGCCGTTAATATATGCATATCTATTAGCGTTCGCTCCACCGGTTCTCACGTAAAGTATTGCTTTTTCTCCATGTAACTCACCACTCGACGAATCTACTATGGCGTAAATCTGCAATACTTTCAATTTATAAACAAATAAACCTCATAAATTTTTTTTTAGTGATATGATAGAAGTAAATCTACCTGAAATATCTGTAAGAAATTCGTAACAGTAGATTGTGTGTATATGATAGACGGTATGATACTTAGCTAAAAATAACTAATCTAAAATGTCAATAATCAGATCAATAATTAATCGAACAAGACATTTAATATTTAGCATTTGGTATCTTTTCCCATAAATTACTATATAATTGAATTCTGGCGTTAAACAGTGAAATCATATCACGCTGACAATCTTATCGATTATGAAATATTATTGGAAAATTAGTAAAACTCTTTAAAGCTATCATTAGATCTTATATATATCAAGTAAATACTAACTTCAACTAAATAAACAGATTCAGGTTCTAATTGATCGATATCAGCATAGGAATGATATGCTGGTACTACAACCGATACCCGTTCACTTTCCACGAAACTATCTTCATTCTCAATTTCATCATCTTCCTCATCTATTGTCGATCGCTTTTCTTGCTTTTCAACATTCATTCTTCGTTTCAACATTTCCTCATATGCTATTGCTTGTTGTATTGTTGATTTTTGCCATGAAAGCTATTAAAAAAACATTTAAAATGTTTCATTATAAATGTTTGAAATGAAGCAAACAAAATCAGATATTATTTAAAAGATTGAATGTTGAAAAGTATGATTTTGTTTAGAAGATATTAATTAATTAATTGAATGATTTTTCCACTAAACAAATAAAAAATTCAATAATAATTTCATAGTAAATTTAAAGTTTTGCGCTATTACAAGATATATTTTCTGAAAAACTAAATTATAATTTGCTCTTTTATTTTTCTGGTAAAATTTAATTCAATCGCTTACGACGTAATTTTTGATTGGTAATTCGGAAAGCGGTGGAGTCCATTTAATTCGTTGTTTCCAGAAATTATGTTCATCAATTTCTGAATTATCCAGTGTTAAATCAAGTGGTTGTCCAGGTGCTTGAGGTTCTAAACTTAACAAAATTTCAATCTTTTTAATCACAATGAATAAATTTAAAGATTGAAAACTTCCTGCACATTTTTTGAAAATTCGAATGACTGACTGCTTTTTATGAATCTCAAATTAACTTAAATGTAAACTTTTTTCGATACCTTTTGAAAGTTTGAATGGTTGACTGCTTTTTGAGAATCCCAAACTACCGTAAGTACTAACAGCTGCTACACGAAACATATAATATCGGCCCGGAGCAAGTAAATGCTTCAAAATTGCATACATTTTATTTCTCTGAAATTATTCCAATTATTTACACACATATACTTGCACTTCGAAATTTTTCATATTTGAGAATATAAAATAATGAAAAAAGATTGAACATTTCATACATTTGCTATAAATCATAATATTTCATATATTATGTGTAAATTATAATCTTTTGATTGATTTATTTATTTATTGGTACTTCTCTTTTGGTACCATTTGATACGTTATTGATAAACATTGTTATTTGAAAAGAAAAGAAATAATTATGGCAAAAATTTCAACATACCGTAACAATAGTTTGCCAATCACTGATTGAAGTACCATCTTTATGTAAACTCCATCTCCATTGAACCACATATAAGTTAGCATTTGAATTTGTTTGAACACGACTCATCCGTTGCATGACCCATCGAACAATCACTGATCTATTAAGAGAGGCTATACATTTTTACATTTATTTATTTAACTTATAAACATTCTTCAATTTGCTTATTAATTTATTTCAGACTACATTGGATCTATTTTTTTTAATAATTTTTTGTTTACTTATTAATTTGTTTGATTCCATATTACAACTATTTCTTTTATTCATTTTCTTAATTGTTTATTAATTTAATAAATTCAAATTTCAATGATTAATTATCTGAATGAATAATCTTATGTATGAATTTCATATTGTTTCAATAAGATATTTCAATCTATGCTAAAACCTTTTTCGTTTTCGTTCCTGAACAGTAATACTGGTTGGAATAGGTAAAAGATTCAAAAATTTTCCTTCTGGTTTCAAACATTGCCTACTACAACCTTCAACACAACATTTTTCCGTTTCTGGACAATCACCATCTAAGTGACACAATGCAGTGCATTCCTGAAATTACTCATCTATCACAAAATTCAATATATACTCCGTTTTCATTCGATAAGCATTCAGAATCTATCACTGCTTCTTAGCTCGATTTATTAGACAGTTTTCTTAATTGCTAATTTTCCATAATTGGTAATTTATATAGAAGAAAAGAAAGGTTACAATTGAAATGAACATACATTGAAAGGAGCCAAATTTAAGCTATTAGGACAAGTTCCAGGTTTATTTTTGTATATTTCGTGTAAATAAACACAGGAACGTTTGCAAACTTCTGGTTCTTTTACATGCTACAAAATATTTAATTAGAAATCTTTAGAATAATTAAAATTAATTGATATCAAAGTTTTATATTAAAAAATTGAATATTGAAAATGAAATTTTTTAGCGATTAAAATGAATCTTTTCCATTAGTTATGTTAAATTAATCAATTTAATCAATAACTATAATAATTGTTTAAATTTTACAAAACTTAATTATTCCACTGCAATAGTAAATTAACATTCTTACTCTGCAAATCTTTCTCTGACATCCTTCCATATCCAATGTATTCTCCTGACATGCTTCAGTGCACTGAAAATGAAATCAACCGCTGTCATCATTTCCATTTATGTCATAATTTTTGAATTAATTTTAAACAAAAAATATTATTACAAAAAAAAATATTAGGATATAATATTAGGATATTAGGATGAATTTTGATCGAATTTCTATTCGTTTAAAAATTATTGCATTTCAAAAATGAAAAATATTTATTGAAAAAAAAAACGGAAATTAAATTTCACTTCATTAATAAGCGATTTTCATCATTCTTTCATTCCTTTTTAATTAATCTTTTTAATCAATCAATCAATCAATTAATCAATCAATAAATCACTGTCACCATTTTCATATAAATCAATGTTTTTGAATTAATTTCGAATTAAAAAGTGAATTATATAGAATTAGTCACTCTTTTATACTTTTAATTCTTTCCATTCTTCTAAAATTCTTTTAAAATTCTTTTTTAAAAGTGCAGTAGTTGTGTGAAATTGAATAGAAATAACGATTAGATTAATAATAATAAATGTAAAATAATTGGAAGACGGATGGATGTGTGTGTCTGTGTATGTGTGTGTGTGTATGTGTGTGTGTGTGTGTGTGTGTGTGTGTGTGTGCATGATTTAATATACGTTATTTAACTTTAAGGAGAATTTTCTAATGGTAATGAGCAATTACAGAAAATAGCAATTGTATTGAGAGGTGAAAGATGCGTGATCGTTGATATGAAATACTTCGAGTATTTCTAATAAGTAATAATAAGGAAGTGATGGAAATATGATGAATGAGTGAATAAATGAATGAATGAATGAATGAATGAATGAATGAAAATTATTGAAAGTTTCATTCTCAACTTTTCTTCCATTCCTCTCTTTTATACCTGAAAATATATAATAAATTATTTTTATTATCTTCTACTCTGTAGCTATTAGCTTCTACATGAAGATTCTACGTGAGGTGTGGTAAATAAGGATATGAGAATTTACAAGTGGAACAGTTTAATACAAATTTTAATTTCATTTCAATTTTTTGAACGAATTGCCCATTTCTGTTCCATTCAAACGAAGGCTATTAACGTATAAGGCTCATTAAAGTATCGAAGAGGAGGCAATAGTTAGAAGATAATAAGATTTCTGCTACTATTTGAAATGTTATCATTAGTTAAAAGTTGATCATATTAATCACCGTTGCTTATTATTATCTTATCAGTTATAGCTAATCAAAGAAATAGAGTTCCTCTCTCACTGAATTGAAAATGTGAATCAATTTGTTATTCTTCGTTTACAAATTTTGTTTACTTGGAAATGTAAACATTTCCATTTCCAGGTGATATTGGAATTCATTTATTGGAAGAAGAAGAACAAACTTTTGTAATGAAATAATATCTGTAAAAATTTTAAACACTCAATTAGCTGTCAATTATTTACAACATATTCCTGATTTATTTTAAATTTATAGAAATTTCGTATGTATTTTATGAATTTTCGTTTGTACTTACATTATTTACTAACTTTAATGATAATTTCTGTAATTCTTAAAGTAAATGACATTTTCGCATCTTTGATGACAAAGTTTCTTTTGCAGAGATAACATGACAGGTGGTGTATACTGCAAAGGTATGGATCATAAAATGAAAAGGAACCATCAAAGAAATGATATACAAGAGAATCTGTAATTGCATTTATGCTAAAACGGAAATAATTCAAGTAGTTACCATAGACAAAGAAAGAGGAAAAGAAAAAAGGAAGAGAAAGAGAGAGAGAGAGAAAGAGGTAAATCTGAAATGTACAAAAGATAAAAAGATGTTATTATGGAAATGATAGAAGCAAAAACCATAATCTTACCTAACAATCTGATAATAAAATCTTAACATATATATGCCCGCCGATCATAGTGTAAACTTCATCTCTGAAGATTCCTATTAAAATTATTTACTTAAATTTGCTCATACAAAATGATTGCATGAAAAAATGGGAATAAAATATTACGGAAAGTCGGAAGAAATGTGGGAAACACGAAAAGGAAATGGTAAACGAATATTCATCCATTCCTACTACGATGATAGTATCCGATAAAGATTGCCGATATTGGCTGTTTTATAGATACCAAGCGGAAATACATCAATACTTTATTGCCTATTCTTTCTAATATTAAATGCATTTTTTTGCATCGATCATGCCGAAAAGTTTTAATATTTAACTGAAATAATAGAAAGAAAAAAGAGTAAATAAAATAAAAATATACTAATTATTTTATCTTTTTAAATGAAAAAAATGATTATTAAAAGATTAGTTGTTTTATTTTCAATTTTCAATCATTGCAATATATTTTTTAAGAAATAATCATACTTATCGATCTTCTCTATCACTATCATACTGATTAGGCCTGATTGCTTAAAATGCCTATGACGTATTTAAAGTTTATATGGACGAATAAATACATCGATTACAATTATCTTTACATAATATCACAATAAATTAATATAATTTATGTACTCGCTTATATCTAATATTCGCTAGCCATTTAATTCCTTTCTATAAACTATACAACTCAAATTTCATATCAATTAAATAAATTCCTCTCTCTCTCTCTCTATCTCTCTGTTTTTTCTAAAACTTATTTGCTTTCATAAGTCTCTTCTTTTCTTTTTTTTCCTTGTCTCTCAAAGACAAAAATACTATACGACGACGACGACGATCTTCATTCATTTTCTTGCTTACGATACATTTGAACGACAATTTTTAATCCCTCTTCAATTTCCATGTCTTATCCTGCTGACCTTTGATATGCATTCCTTTATTGATGAATGATTTTAGGTTTGATGTGAAAGAGAGAAATGCCTAAATTGTTAATGAGAAAATATTGAAACAATAGGATTAAGCTAACAATGCCATAAAAATTATTTCAAATTACCAGCAATAAAAAAAGTGCTTTCATTTTCATTGCTTTATTGAAATGTAATGCCAGCTGTAAGCAATTTTTTTCCTTTCGTTTTAGTATTAAAATCAACATAAATAGAATTAATTTTGAATTGTTATTAGAAGAAGGGAAGGATAAACAGTTTTATTCAAAAATATTATGAATTTTATTCTTTTGCTTCATCTATTATTTTTATAAAATTTACAAGCTTATTTGATGGGAGAAATTATATAAAGATGAAATGTTTAAAAATATGAATTGATTTCATTAATAAATGCTAATTAAAATCAAACGAAGGAAATCTTTAACCTTTAACCTTTACTCTTTCCAATAAAAAAAATTCTTCAGTCTCTTTTTGTTGAATTTGCAATGAAATTCAGTAATTCATTTATCATCTTATCCTCACTGTTCCCTCATTTCATATTTATTAAGAAACAAAAAGTTTGAATGTTTGATAAATTCTTTCCTCAGGAGGCTATAAATGGCGCAATAATAAATGAGTAAATTGGTCGGTGAATGTATTTGAAAAAGATGAAAACAAAGATGATTGCCCATTTGATGACCATCACAAAAACAATATTTTAGGAGACTGAATAACATGAGAGAAGATGAAAGGAATGAGCCGATACATTATCTATCAATTAGTTACGATTTCACATTTCATGGTACCTACCTACCCTATTAAATGGATCCAAAAATGAACTAATAATTTCCTTATAAATTTCAAAGATACGACATGAAGAAATACTACTAACTACAATGATGAAAATGATCAATAATCGTAACAATGGATTTAATTAATGTTTATTAAATTAGCAAGGAGTTTTAGCAATATAAGGAGATAAAGTATTAAAGTAATGAAGAAATAAGAGAAAATAGGAAACTTTTTGAGGCTTATAATCCTGTGATATCATCATTGATTTTTTCCCACTGATAACCAGAAAGAAAACAATTAATGATTGATCTCTGCAAACTGATAATTTATTAACTTCGATATGAATTTTTTAACCCCTGAAAAAATACCTTTTGAGGATTATTTTTATATTCTCTTTTTGGTATGTTATCATTAATTTTTAGGATTCACAATTTTTTCTTCCACTAATAACTGACTGTTGAAAACTTCGAGTTCTAAATATGATTCTTTTTCTCTTTCTTTTTTAAATCTCTGTAAATTATATTAAACCTAAAATCTTTGTGTCATTGCCGAAATCGTATTTTAATAAAAATGAAGCATTTAAGATGGAAGGACTGAGAGCTCGTATATAAAGATGAAAGGACTGAGATTTCGCATATATTTCCACATTTTCAGTTTTATTAATTTCTGCTTAACCAAAGTTTTACAAGTAAACATTGAGTAGAACAGTAAACATTGATAAGATGATTAGATGTATACTTTATCAGTACTTTTCTCGACTGTCAACTAAATAATACTTTGACTTATGTCTTCGAACATTTCCATTTTGTTTGTTTTTATTCTTCTTTCCTTCATTTTCTTCTTTTGCATTATTTATTTGTCATTTAAAATTCATTGAACTTTGTAATTTCAATTTAATAATTATTAGCAGATAATATCAAATTTTATCATAAAACGATCAGTACATTATACTAACAATTATCATCATATCATAAATAAAAAAAATAATCGATTTTATTAACCAACAGACAACTTATCATATTTGGCTATTTAACCTGTCCATTTTTTGTTTCAATCCTAATTTTATTGCTTCCATTGGCTACAACAGTTTATTTGTTTACTTCATTATGTGTCTTTTGAATGTATTATATTGATGCTAACTATAATATTTTTATCTCTGTTTGAAAGAGGTCATCATCCATTGATAATTCATTAACAATAAGCAGAAAAAGTATTCTCAAATACATTATCTCATCTTTCTTCTCTTTCACAACCATCGATGGATGATGACCAATATATGATATATCTGACCAGATAACCATGCCCGTATCATTTTTAATATTTTTCTCTTCGATTGTTAGCAGCTGGTGATTCTCACGCTAATACAACAGAACCATATAAATCAATATTTTATCTTTCTATTATATAATCATATTTATATGTAAATATCACATATATTATATGTTTAA